AGGGTAGTATTCATATGCGGTCGTTCGGAGACGAATAAGCACGAATCAGTAATATTTGGGCTTAGTATATAATGGGCCTTAGGGCAACCCAAGTAGTGTTGGTAAGTTAAACCCATTACGTTAATGGACCGGTCGGTATTAAAAGTTATGGGTATATAATCCTTTTGATAGTTTTTAGGGTTAGTCTCTCACGAACTAAAAAAAAAGGTTGCGCCTTTCGTAGTTGCAGTCTATCTCTCAGTCTCTCTCGCCGTCGTCAATATGGGGTACGGTTTCGGATTCTTCGTGTTCAAATCTCATATCTTTGTCTGGATTTTGGGTTGTTGTTCGATTTGTCTTTGGTGTCTTGTGATGGTCGGAATCTGGGATGAGGAGGGTTAGATTAGGGGATTTTAGTGGTTGCATTTTTGTGGCAGTACTTTGTTTTATCTCACCTCTGAATTCACTGATTTTAAAATGGAACTGGTAATTTTGTTTACTAATAGCATTTGAGTCTCTGTTTTGAGTCATTTCTTCGTTACTCGCTCACAATGATTTGTCTTTATATGTTAAATGGATGCTTGATTCGTCTTGTCTACTTTCTCTCTTGGGTTGCTAAATCTGAGTGTGTTAGTTATTAAGATTCTGATTTTATGTCATAGTGAGCTCTTAATATGTTCTGTATGTTAGTTGAAATCTGTCTTGATTTTTCAATTTGTTGTGTCTTGTTTTTGAATCTCTTCAGTAAGACACGTGGTATGGGAGCTGGTCGCAAGCTGAAAAGGCTTAGGATTAACCAGAGGTGGGCGGACAAGCAGTACAAGAAGTCTCACCTTGGGAATGAATGGAAGAAGCCATTTGCTGGATCTTCTCACGCTAAAGGAATCGTCCTTGAGAAAATGTAAGACTTGCATTCCACTTGAATTTTTTTACCTTTTTTGTGAAATTCTCAGTTTATCTCACTCTCTTGCTTGGTTTCGTATGGATATTGATAAGTTGTGTGTTAATCATGCAGCGGTATTGAGGCAAAGCAGCCTAACTCTGCTATCCGTAAGTGTGCTAGAGTTCAGTTGATCAAGAACGGCAAAAAGATTGCTGCTTTCGTCCCCAACGATGGTTGTTTGAACTACATTGAAGAAAATGTAAATTTGATGAGAACTACTTTTGCGTTATCGGTTATGTCCTTCGTAATGCTTCTAGTCTCTTGACTCATTGATGACTTTTGTGCAGGACGAGGTGTTGATTGCTGGATTTGGGCGTAAAGGTCATGCCGTGGGAGATATTCCCGGAGTTAGGTTCAAGGTGGTGAAGGTGTCTGGTGTCTCACTCTTGGCCCTTTTCAAGGAGAAGAAGGAGAAGCCTAGGTCTTAGGTTCTACTACTTTTCAATCTTTTTGTTGTTGGATCTCTATATTTGAAGACATGTCTATGTTCTGCTTCCAAGATTCAGGAATATGTCTGATTCTCTTTTCGTTCTTCTTTGTACGAGGATTTGAGTTTTAGTCTTGTTTTTGTTTCATTTGTTTTGGATTCAGTTCACCCTTTACGTTTTATTCCAACATTATATGTTTTCATAATTTCTCAATTTTACACATCTCAGAGTATTTGCTGCTAAAAGCTTATCCAACTGAAATTTACAATAAGAAATCTTAATAAGTAAATTCCCAAATTTTTAAAACAAAACCTCTCACTTGAACGGTTTCTTCTACTCTGATAAAGTCATACAATCCTAAACTTTGGAAGAGAAGAAAAGAGTATTTTGCATTGGTCATGTTGCTTGGTTCTGATAAAACATGCTTGACTATAACCGAGATCTTGTTCTGATTAGTGGGTTAGGCGCTGAGCTTCCTACTCTGCAGAAAGATCTTCCTTGCAACAACCATCAGATCCATCAGAGCGGTTCTTGTTACCAAGATGCTCTTTCAAGTCCGAGCCTGTTATCTTCTCTTCAGTCAGATTAATGTCCTTCATAGTAAGCTCACGTGCAATATTTGCAGCTTCTTCCCTATCCTCATGTAGCATCTGCTCTTTAGAAGACTCTTTCAAGTCCCCAGATTCCAACATCGAGTCTTCCACAAGGTCAGTACTAGGTGTTTCCTTTATGACCTGTTCAAATTCTTTGGATTGCAGGAGGTCTTTACTGATAGAATCTGGTTTCACACTTGGGTTTTTGGTAGCAGAAGCAGCGTGAGGGCTCGAAAGCGTTTCATTAGGGGAAGGAGAAATCTCTCTTCCAGATAATGCTCCGGGTTTAGGTTTATCCTGGCGACCTTTTCCACTGCCATTGTTCTTGTTCTTGGCTGCCATTTTGGAGGTTGAATTACTGCAAGCTATGAGTCCGGTAGGTGTTGAACAATTCATCTGGTTTGCTACTTTCATTATGCTTGCCCCAATTCCGAAACTTGCTTTAGCTTTCTTTGGTATAGTCCTATCAACTATAGACAGATTATGTTTTCCATCAATTTTGGGAGAAACTGGAGATCCCGGATCCTCCTCTGTCTGCAGGTTCGCCTTGATCTTTTTCGTGGACTTGAGAAGTTTTGAATGCACAACCTTACGTTTCTTTTCGGAATCTGGCTTGATAGCAGAATTTTCATGTGATATGTTCCCATTACTTCTGCTTAAGCGTATCTCAGCAATGAAAGCAGCCAGAGTCTTCTCCTTCTTTTTCTTTGGAACGGTAGCATCCTCATATTCAAAAG